TTTGTATTCTTCAAAATAAAATAGATCATTAGTTGACCTTAGTTCTTTACTAAAATCGTCTATGAAGTATACACAATCTTCATAAAGCCACCTCAAATTATGTATTGATTAAAATGACATAGATACCAGAACAATTATTCATATTATTCATTATATTTATGGAAAGTTTATCTAATGTAAGTTTGAGCAAATATTGCAAACTGAATATTCTTTTGACAGAAGTGTTGTTGGCACTAGTTGAAATGATAAAAAAACAGATTATTATTCGTGTCAATAAATGTCTTTCTAATAATTATAGATAGGCACGCCTCAGTTGTGTAAATGATGAACGAGAACGTGCTATATGAAGTATACTGTATTTATGCTGTACATATATGTAATGGTTTTGCTTCGTGTTAATCAATCATCCCTGTAACCAATATTATATAAATTTTAACGGTGTTTGAAATTAGAAGGCAATAAGAAGTGGCGACTACAGTTTATTAGCGAATAGCACAGACCACAAAGCTATAAGCACATCAAGTGAATTTGAAGCAGAGAGGCAAGTATGTATATTTAGTCAAATTGCATAAGAATGCAGCAAGGCAAAGCAAAAGCGGTGAGACTAAAATTTATGGACTACCTTTAAGCGATGCTAAAGTGACCTTGATAATTCCCATATACTTACTGGGGCCAAATGAGGGTTATAAACCAATGTAAGGAATTCGAATTATGATTTACAGTTGATAGTTGGGGTTAGGAATTAGGTTTGTGGTTTTCATCATGAACTGACATCAGTTATAACGCCAAAAGGCTATTTATGCAGATAAGCGAATGGATTTCACGTCAAAATCCAAAATCTGTTATCCTAAATCTGATTGGTTCGTCCATAAATTATAGTCTCGTCGCAGAAGCTAATAAGGGGATTTGAGTATATATGTAGCTCGTTATATTAGCAGGAGCAGTAGCGATCTGAAACAACAACACAACAGTCAGGACCGGTAAATGCCTTGGAAGTAAGAACGCGGCGTACTGGCCCAACAGATATATTTTTGAAAATTAAAAGACGCGGTTCGAGTACAAAAAGGGAAACTGATCACGAAATAATTTTATACATTGTTCTGAAGGTTCAGCTTACGTAGGGCTTGTTCCTCTTCTTCCAGTACGTTTACTCTTTGCTGTCCTGCAATAAGGAAAACAAACTCACGTTAGTAACGTCACATGTAGTGATTTTTAATACAGTTGCATATACATATGGGAAGGAGAATGAAACATCAAGTGACATTTAAGCGATCAACATTTTAGCTAGAGTCTGTCATGTAATCTAATGATCATGATCATGATCAAAGAAATATGCGAATTCTTACTGTTCAAATAACATTGTCTGTTAAGTAAGTTAATAAAATTGCTCAACCAAATTTAACTTTAATCGAAATTGGTTGTAGGATAATTGCTACATTTGTACAGTTAATTACTATCGTTTTATGATTAATACAAATATAGTTAAATGATTCATTGTCTATAAAACTGTTTACTTACTTACTTGCGCTGCGTGCTACTTATATTGATATAAGTAGTATATGACGCGAGTTACAAACGTAATGTCTGGCAGCAGAAGATGAGGAAGATCAAGAAAGGAAGAGCGGGAATAGAAAGCAATTAATATGGAAATGCAAGAACAACGAAGTTCGAGACAATTATTGAACATTTTGCAAATTAATTATTATAGTATGGTTTTTCTATTTTACCAAGTAACTCTGTAATTTCGTGCTAAATACAATACGATTGTCCCCACTGGTGCTCATGTCCACTACATACTTACTTACTTTAAACGAAAGCATCTCTATTTGTTTAAATGTTTTACAATTCAGAATAGTTTAAATCACTTTTGTTTACATTGATGAATGTTTAATGATTAAAAAAATAAATGTTTTTAATATTAAGTTACATTCTTTTTCCCGCTTTAATAACGTAATCATATTCTGAAGGCGCCAGTAGTTGTATATTTTATTTTCAAGTGATTGACAGATTCAGTTCAATTAAATATACACAATACTTTGGTCCAGTGTCAGTATATCACGTTGTTTCTATGCAACTTACACCTAGCTTACTTTAATTTTGATGATATAATTGATCAGATATATAAGTGATTATAATAACGTAATTGATTTTTGTCGTTCATTGATAACACTTTTATTGTAACTCATGGAAAGAGAATTTAACTCTTGATGCATTAAAATTTCATGTGAAATGGTGTGTGATTATAAGACTCAAGAATTTCTGATCAGGATTTTATAATTGATATCATAATGAAAGGAAAATAGTTTGCTTTAACAATAGATTTAGACAAGTTAGCTTACAATTAACTTAACCTCCTTCATGGTTCGATTCATATCATTGTTTCTTATATTGCATTAAATAATATTATAGCAAAACTGATTCTTATGATCAACGATATATAGTCCAAGAATCTCTTTAAACGAGCATTTTCACCTAAAGGTTCTACTAATGAATATAAAATATATTCGTGTTGTACAGTTGAATTATACCAGGTGATTAGAGATGGTTGACAGGAAACTGTAATGTTCAGCATACGTAAGTAAGTGGTATCTGCAATCTTAGATAAATCGATGCTCCACGTGGGATTTGAATTCATTTTACCCATCTCCTCAGACTGAGGTGTGTCATTCAACTATTAAAGTAGTGACGAAACACTTAGACTGGCGACCATACTATAACTTAATCGACAGAAGTTGATTAGTAATAAAGGACTATTTTCACGTCTTAATTAAATATGAAAGTTATGGAAATTGTAGAATGTTTGGAATTGTATTGCTTAGCGATCAGAATGTTTAGCAAAAAAGGTAATTTACGTTATTTTGAAGAATGTTGATGAAGATCTGAAATTTTAATACGATTTAAGTAAACAACTAAAAATTGTTGTCTTAATTTCAATGCAATACTTTTGTTTTCATCCAATTCGTTAATTCATTTAACTAATTTTATAGATAGACCAGTAAATTTATCGCTAGTATCAAGAGTTCTAGTGAGAAGCCGTGACCATTGGAGTTCAACCGACAACTGACAGATGCGATCCAAGTTATGACTGGTGTAAGAAAAGGATGCTTACTCTCACTCTTTTTCTTTCTTCTGGTAGTTGACTAGATTATGAAGACCTCTTTATCTGAGGCAAAGCACGGAATAGAATCGACAGATTGGATGCAACTACATGATTTGAACTTTGCAGATGACCTGACCTTTCACCCCATACACATCAACAAATACAGGTGAGGACAACTATTTTAGCAGAAGCCTCTGAATCAGTAGACCTCAACATACAAAAGGGAAAACCAACATCCCCAAATACAACACAAAGAAAATCAACACAATCACACTTGATGGAGAAACTCTGAAAGAGGTGAAAACCTTCGCATAATTGGTCAGAATCATTGATGAACATGAACGATCAGATGCTGATGTTAATGCACTGATTACAAAAGCAAGGGCAGCATTTCCACAACTGAAGAACCTAAGGAACTCAAAACAACTGTCTGCAAACCAACATCAAATTCAGAATCTTCAGTACGAGCATCAAGACAGTCCTACTGTACGGAGCTGGAAAATGAAGAACTACCACAACCATCATCAAATTAGTGCAAGTATTCATAAACGATTGTCTGCTCAAGATTCTGAATGTCCGTCGACTGAATACCGTCAGCAACAACCTACTGTGGGAGAAAAAAAAACCAGGTTCCAGGTGAGGAAGAAACTAGGGAAAGACTATGTAAGTGGATATGACACACATTTCGGAAATCATCAAACTGTATCACAAAGCAAGCACTAACTTGGAATCCTGAATGGAAACGGACAAGAGGAAGACCAAAAAAGCACACTGCGTCAGGGATCGGAAGCAGACATAAAAAGGATGAATTGAAATTGGAAAGAACTGCAAGGGATAGTGAAGGCAGAATCGGATGGAGAATACTGGTGAGCGGCCTATGCTCTTCTACGTGGGGTAACAAACGATAGTAAATAAGTATTATTTACAATAGTCTATGGATGTAGAAATCATGCATAAGTTACTAGTGTTAGATTGCTTATACATTCTGAGCATTGTTTCCTTGCTGTTTAACTAACTAGAGATTTTAAATTGATTGGTGTAGCTATGAACAATACTCTACTGAAGTGAATTTGACATATGGTACAAATTAATATCCTCTCACTACCCTGATATACAATAACAGGAAACATAACAATAGACTGGCAAAATGTCAAGGATGATCAAACCATGTCAAAGGATCAGTTCTCTGAGTCACAGACTGGTAGTTTCAGTAGTATCAGTAATAGAGCCATAACATTTATTTGACCACCTTGAGTGACGTGATATTATCTATTGTTGCCAAAGGTATATGTATCGCTAATATTTATTTTATTTTAAATTGTAATGACGCTTTATAATACTCATTTCCTGATTTTATATCATTTTGCTTCGATTTACTACTACTAACAATACTACTGATTATACTATTGCTAACTGGACTCCACTAATTTTTATTCCATGAATTCTCTTTGACTGACCCCGTACATATTAACAGCACTTTTCACAAATTGTGATCAATATCATCATCATCATCATCAATATTTTTTTTGATTGAGATAATGAATCAAATGATGTTAGATCATCATTGAAAACCTGGAAGCACTGGACGACCGTTTCGTCCTATTTTGAAACTCTTCAGAAGTTCTCATTCACGATCCCGATCACGGGATTCAAATGATAAACAAATAATTCATCTAAATCACTTCAAAATAATCTATTTTTAACTATAAATTATAATTCACAACAAATGTATAACTTCATTTATCAAATTGATCATCGTTGTTAAGTTTCTCTCAATGTACAAATCAGTAAATTAAAAAAAAAAAGAAAATTAACGAGATCAAATGAAGCTAATAGAAGAGGTCAAAGAAACCGTACCATACACAAATACATACATCAAATAAAAAAAGGATGTACATCTTTAAAGTGTTGTAAAACTAGTCATTAATTCATTTTGTGAATTTGGCATTATTTCATTGAATGTTTGTAAATAATACTGTCGAGATGAATCAGTTATGGTTTTATCAGATTTATTTAATTGTTCTACAGGAATATGACGAAGAATTGAATGTGGCATATAATGAGTTGATTGTGTATTGAATGATGGTGATACAGTTGAAAGTTGAATCAATTCTGAATTTTGTTGATTCTGTCGTTGTTGTAATTGTGATTGATGTGTTTGTTCTACTACTTGATGTTGATTATATGCTTGATTTCTTCTTTCAATTAATTGTTTTCTATGCTCATTTAATCTTCGACTTTGATAAAAAGTGATCATTATAACAAGAATTAAAAAACAGACAAATAAACCAATAGCTGTTACTAAACCAAGTAATACACCGATTCCAGTTAATTCATTTTCTACTGGTGTGTCGAAATCTAATTCATTTGATATAGATTGACTTTTAGTATAGTCAGGATGATTGTTTAATGATTTGTGTCGAACTGAATGTTTTATTATCAAAGGATTTGGTGAATCTTTTGAATCACTAGGTGGGTAAAATGGTGGAGTAAATAGAATTCTTAAAATGGTAGAAGATTTCAATGGTGGTTCCCCATTGTCTGTTACCTGCAAGTTAAGGAAAACACATATTTAAAAAAGGAGATGTTTGGATCATAATTAAGTTGCAGTTTTTAATATGTCAATGAAAGTAAGTCGTAATTGATTAATGACGGACATATTCTACTACATTTCAACATAAGAGACGATTTTATACGTAAAACGTATTTCAGCTTACTTCCACTTTGACTCCATTTGTCAATAATGATGAAGATACAGATCATGCAACTATTAAATGATCAAAATTAGTAAAGCAATAGTGAATTATAACGAGGATGGCAGCAAAATCCCACCTAAGGCCTCCTGTTGGCGCTGCTGAATAGTGGGGACAACCCTGCTAGCCAATTTAGGCGGTCGCAGAGATCGAACCGATATGATCAATCCTGAGTTCTATACTCGGGGCTCACTTTACCGTCCGGGCTACCGATGTGTATGCTTATGTATGAGAACTGCAGTTCTTGGATTTATGTTGTTCAAGTATGTATGGTATATACAAAGGTTACGCATCCAGTATCGTAAAAAGGGAAAATTGAGCTTCAAAAATATCTGCTCGACATCTAATAAAATCAGCGTCCTATCTGTCAGGTCAAAGACATAATAAAAAGAAATGGTGGCAAGTACTAGGGCGAGGTGACCGACAACCTCTCCTGAGAGAGTGCTTATGCTTATGTGTGTGCCAGAAAATACTGGGGCGGTAGCCATAGCGCGAATAATGTGTCTATAGTGTGTAAGAATCAGTCTGGTGTAGCAAATACGTTTTCTTTCGGAGCGGTGAACATCTACGCTCCCAAATGTGTGAATATACGTACGTGTATGCCATGGGATGCATGGGGTAAAACTGTGGTGTGTGCTACTTATATTGATATAAGTAGTATATAACGCGAGTTAAAAGAACGTAATGTCTGGCAGCAGAAGATGGAAAAGATCAAGAAAGGAAGAGCGAGAACACAATGGAATTTGTAAGAAATCGCATGATTAATGAAATGTGAGACAATAGATTGACGTGTGCAACGGCAACAGTCCGGTTTGATATGATGGAATGATATTTTGCAAATTAACAATTTACCATATGGTTTTTCTATTTTACCAAGTAACTCTGTAAGGGTAGTCTGCGGTCTCCACTAAATTGTATTCACGTAGTTGGACTATTAGATCTTCCCAGAAGTCTTCACCAGATGTTGTGGCTGGAACACCCACAATAATAATGTTGAGTAGTAAAACAACCAATTATTTCAGAACCAGGAATAGGTTCGAAACTAGAGGGTTATTGATTGGACAATCTACTTATCATTGATAAATGAATTAGTGTGGATAATGATGATCTAAATATACAATTACCAAACAAAAAATCTTGATAAGATGACAAAAATTGAAACAAATGATAATTGATAAAATCATTCACCAGGATCTTTTCAGACATTGAAGTATTAAATATAATATGAATGTCTTATTGTTAGTCAGAATCTCTATTACCTTTTGCTGTATACGACTAGATTTTCAACGTAATCAAAATAATGTTGTGATATTGAATAACTGACCTTGAATATTTTACTTCTACTTATCGATAAACACATGAACTAGGAAATATGAAGGTAAAACATTCCAAAAAACAACTTGCTTTCACTTTCAATTATCATACTGAATGCTACTTAATACTTTATATTTCTTAAATTTACAGACCACTGTACATTATACACTTAAATTTCGTCCCAAATTTATGTGAATAGAGAAACAAGAAGCCTTGACAAACTACGGAAGCTATTTTAGGGACGTTATTTCATTTAATTCAAAGCTTGTAAATTATGAACAATTATTTTTGTCCCTAGTCTATTCTAAAGATCATAAGCTTTCGTTTGATGTATTATTCACTGCCATACACCTTTTTGTTCCAAAGCTATTGTAATTTAAATGTAATATTTTGTACTCTAATTTCTACGCTAATTTTCAGTTTTTGATATAACTGTATTTTCCTAATTGTTGTGCGTTGTGGTCTGGTAAGTCATTTATTTATTCATGAATCTTTTTACATTAATCTGAAATTGGGAACCAGATCGGAATTGAGGTTAACTCGAGTAGTGTTCCAGTTGACTTGTCTTCACTCACTCGCGTGCTTGCCAGCCAATCAGGTGATGGGATTGTTTTCGTCTCTCTACCTCAATTCGACCTCAAGCATACTAGCCTCAAGGTTAAGCCGGTCAGCCTATTGCGTGAAGGTCTTAATCTGGATTAGACAAGTTATCCTCTGCACAAAAGTTGATAGACAAAACAAGGACGTAACACAACTATTTGAAGATTTCTTCTGTTTAATCAATTTAAATTAGAACTTAAATATGAATACAATTTACTAATCTGACTACTAATAAGATAATGATAATTATAGATAATAATTAAAAAATCTCCATAGATATGAAAATTTGCTGATTGTTTCACTGTGATATATCAGTTACTCATTGTACATGTTTATAACTAAGATTATTATCTTAATATTAAAAACGTCATTCATAAACTAAGTGTACCTTTGAGTATATTAATCATTGTTTGAGTTTTATCATGTATTTGATTTTGTTCAGTGATATTTAAAATAGGGAAGTGAATATTAGTAAATGATATTACGAACTAAAAACTGGCTGTACAGTAATTGAGGAAAATTTTAGATAAATATCTTAAGATTAAAAGTGATATATCAGTTGCTTAATACAATTCAAATATTTTGACGGAGTTTTGTTCTTTGAGCTGTATGGTTTGGTCGTGGAGCTTTCATCTTTCTTCTGAACGACATCATCAGCACAAACTTCAAATAGAAGTGAAGTGTTCGAATTTCTCCATATACGTTTCACAGCTTGTTCTGTACACCTCGATCTTGATTGGTTGTTATTGACCTTAAATTTGTCATTGTTTACTTCTTTGTTTTGGTTGTGTTTTCTATTGGTTTGATTTTTGTTCCAATATTTGTGCATATGCACAAACTCGAACACCACTTTTATCTGAGGTTTGTGCTGATGATGTCGTTCAGAAGAACGATGAAAGCTCCACGACTGGGCCATCCAGCTCAGAGCACAAAACTCCATCAAAATCATCCACCTGAGCTACAAATCTTCTCCATCATCTAACAATTCAAATATCAATAGAAACATGTTAGTTATCAAGAAGTAATTGGTCAGAATTATTGAGGAAATTAAATTTTAATTCTTATTGAAATTATAAACTTTTATAGGTAGAAATACAATTTCTTAGAACAGTTAGTTAATCATACAAGGTGTATGTTACTTATGTTGACAGATATAAGTAGTATGGTACACCAATGCAAAGTGAAATGTATGATAGCAGGAGATTGAGAGGCAAGACTATAATTTATGGACGACCTTTGAACGAATCTCAAGTAACCTTGAGAAATATTAGCCAGTTAGAAAAGTTAGTATACAGTAAAAACATATTACAAAATACCAAAGAATTAAAGTGGATACATTACTTTCACATGGTTCAAAAACTTATCAAGGTTAGAAAGAGGTTCAGAGGTTTTAAAATCGTAATGAATACAGTAGAGGAAATCATCTATATGACTACATAATTGTCGGCCTCTGCAGCCATGATAAAGTCGCAAAAACTATCAGCCTCAATCATATAGCTTCAATTTCGTTTGGTGTATTCCGGTTTTTGTGTCCAAAAATGCTGTTTGTGGATAAAGACACGATGCACATAACCAGGTCTATGTAGCCATCTGTACGCTCTTCAATCATCCGTATATATTGTAGTACCCGGTAGCAGCCAGTATTACTGGTGCTCTTATTATCCAGCTCAAAACATAATTAGCCTTAGTCTTAATCTGGATCGAGCGAAAATCCATATTGTAGCAGATTTCTTCCTCCAACACATATTACATCGAAAAACAACATCATCACGGTAGTCTGCACAAGGTTCACAGATCATTTGATTGCTTTAATCACAAACAAAGCAAATTTTTAATAGTCTCATTTATTTTAGTCGTTCAATTATCACGTCTTCTCTAAAATTCACCGTGAATCAGTCGTACATAAGCATCAAGTACTGAAATTGGCGCCATGATCTTGAAATCCCTGAAACGCTTCTGAATGGCTCGTCCATAAATTCTAGTCTTACCGATTGAAAATATTCAATTGAAAAGAACAGAATAAGGAAACTAAAACTAAATTTTATTAACAACAAAACTGACAGAATACTGAAGCATATAAACGAAAATGATATAGTTGATATATGATTTTCACATATTTACTAAATTACTACGATACTACTTAAATCATTATAAATGCTAGTTCATATCCAAAAATCTAAATGTTCAAAAAAAGAAGAAACTATTCACAATCTTAAGAATAATGATACTTACTGTAACAATTAAACTATATGCCATTTGACTTTCATATAATTTATTCTTTAATTCATTTTGTTTAAAAGTTGTTTTATTTATTCCATGAATAGATTGATTTCGACGTTTCATTTCCATTTCATGAATAGATGATGATCTACTATGTATATTAAGTAAATTAAAATCTTTAAAGTTTTCATTTTCTTTGAGTCTTAATGTATCTATATTATAATCTAATGAACGTTTTAATATAATATCACCAGTTATAGGATCTAATTCAAATAAGGATTGTATATCTGTATGCTCATTTGGTTTAATTCCATATGTTATACGACCATTTTCTGCTGAATCTATATCAATAGCATATAATTTTGCAATATACGTTCCAGGCCTATATCATAGTGAAAAATTTAAAAAAAGGAACATAAAAGTTTATTTTTAAGCTTAGATAATGAAATATGGAAGTATTTACTGTTTATGTGGAACCTTCATAATTAAAGCAAAAGAGAAAAGTATGAAAACTTCATTTACAAAGTTTATTCATGTTTAATTCACTTGATATTGTTTTACTTGAATCTTCCCATTGATGTTTAGGACTTAAATTGACCAGTCTTTTATTGGCATATGTGCATACTGTGTGTATTGCCTCGATATTGCCTTAATTTACAAG